AAAGTTTAAACTATGTTCATCAAGATATAACCATAGACCATACTGGATTTTAAAGTTTAAACTATGTTCATCAAGATATAACCATAGACCATACTGGAGTTAAAAGTTTAAACTATGTTCATCAAGATAGAACCACAGACCATACTGGATTTAAAGTTTAATCTATGTTCATCAAGATTTGTCAATTTTGTCCATTTGATGATGGGATTATAAATGCTAGAGGTTGTCAGTAGATGTACATAATTATATATACTCCCATATAGTTGAAAATGTGAATCATTACCTGCCACAAATACATGTATACAATATATATATATATAGGTACTTACAAGTGGTAAAGCAAGTCTCAATCCATGTGTTCACCAACAGTCTTAATGATAGTGTACATGTGCAGAATGATATTCCTCCCCTTAAATACTTGGACAGGTCTACTCAAAATGATTGTGCAGTACCTAGATTTCATCATCTGAAATCTGTGACAGGTCAGAATCAGAATATTTTTATTTATAACAAATTCTTATCAGTACAGTCTCTAGGGTTGAAAATATAGATCAAACACTTAAAATCTTGATTTCACCATAGCATGTCTAAATTTGGAACAAACACTTAAAAACGCAGTGTATTGTATCAAAATATAGAGTCTGCAGAAAAACCAGGAACGTTAACAAACAAAATAATTATCTTGTAGGCCTCGGAAAACCGAAATCACTTGTACAATTTTAATTGGTCACATGTAGCTATATTTATATATAGAAAGCCTTTATATTGACTTGACCAGCCTTTAAAATGACCTGAACGGTACACATTTTAACCCTACAGAAGATATCAAAATATAGCACTACCATATGTGTAATGTTTATTTTACAAATTATGGGGTTACTGATAAAGAAGGTGTCCGGTGTCAGAGTGCTGGTGTTCCAATTAATGAACCTTGTTGAGAATTCATAGGTTAGGCCACGGACTTAGATATTCCGTGGTTAGGCCAAATAACTGACTAATCAACTACAGAATGCATGATCGATTATTAAATTGTGTGAAGATATTACAGGTTTTAATCCAGCTAGTGCAAGTATCTCGATTTCAAGCTTATTATTGTGTCATATAACATATATCACATTTCTAGTACTAAGTGTATTTGCTTTCAATTAGCTCCTCCTCCATTGCTACAATACTGTATCTCTGACATGATTTACTTGTATTAGTAGCTAAGGCCAATCAAAAAATGTTTTGTTTTTCCAGTAATCATATCTACCCTAATTAATTGTGCCTACCCTGAACTTGCTTAGGCAATTTTCAGAGAAGTACTGTTAAAATCAAGATCCCCTCCTTTATATGCAACATCAATTGTTTTTTTTAATTTTACCTTCCTTCCTATAACCTAAATTTTTCAAACATTTTACAGAAAACACAAATCTTTTTGTCTGGGCTGATAAATTAATAACTTTTTTTTCACAAAATTTCCCATGACTTATAGCTATATAGGTCATTAGTAATATCTCCCAAGAGTTCAATTTCAACTGATTCTTTGTGACATCATCAACTGGTAAACAGAATCCATTGATCAATCACAGAACTTCACCTAGCTGACCTCTAACAACGCAGTGTCATAATATAGAATGGTTCACACTCAATAAGTGAGCAATCTTTTATCAGCTAACCGACATACAGCGTACACACACGTAACACACCCTGTTGTACTCATGCAAATCTGTTAACCCTGGGCCAACAGCAGTACACAAAGGTGAACAGACTGGGAAACACTGTCTGGAAAAAAACCCATAGCCTGACTGAGCACTTAATTCATATGGATTAATAACACAGTATAGAGAGCTGGTCCATTAGCTTCCTTCTCGTTCTGATTCCCTGTGATCCCTGTAACTGTCTATCTGTAATAACTGTCACCCTGTTACTATGACACCTGTCACCCATGTCTCCCTGTTATTATGACACATGTCATCATAGTACTATGACACATGTCATCATATTAATATGACACATGTCATCATATTGCCCTGTTGCTATGATATATGTCTTCCTGTTACTATAAGACCTTTCTCCCTGTTATAATGACACCTGTCTCCCTGAGATTGTTTATATGTGAAACCTGTCTTGTCTCCCTGTTACTATGACACGTATCAGTCACCCTGTAAACTATGACACTTGTCTCCCTGTTGATATGACACCTGTCTCCCTGTTACTGATATCTGTCTCTCTGTTATTATGACACAGGTCTGTCTCCCTGTTACCATAACACAAGTCTCTCCATTACTATGACACCTGCCTCCCTATTACTGTGACACCTGTCTCTCCCTTACTATAACACATGTCTCCTTGTTAATGTGTTACCTATCTATCTGTTACCATGACATCTCTCATCCTGATACTATGACATCCATCACCCTGTTACTTTGACACTTTTCCCCTGTTATTGTCTATGACACCTGTCTTTCTACTATTATCTACATGTTTACAATGTCTGTATTATATCTTTGTTTTTTCCCTTCATCCTGCCATCGTGATACGACCCTGTTTGTTGTGAGGATATGTAACCCTGATATAAAATGGTCGTCCTGGTAGGCTTGTATTGGGGATACATGGACTTATCAAGTTTAGGAGGAGAGGAAAAATGCAGTCAGGCTGGGATTTGAACCTGGGACCCTCTGAACTCTAGTCGAACACTCTAATCAACTCTACCAATTGAGCTACATGTACCTTGTTCCCGGCTATCAAATTCCAGTCCAAAATCTGTCCCAGAATGGCTAAGACAAAAGCTATTTTCATACAGAGGGATGTGACTACAGTACCATTATTTACTAAAAATGTCCTAATAGTTCAGTTTGAAAATGTTGTATTACGAAATGTTCTACGGATAATTGTATTGATAGCTTGTGTATTGGGTTGATTACTTCACTGAAAATCCACCAACATGTCTTAATTTCCACGTGACTCGCACGTGGGGCACACATCAAATGCTTGTTTACATAACAGCAAAATATAATTATATGTAGTTTCTACGAAGTGGTTCATAAATTTGGTCAGTATTCGTCTTAGTCAGCACATTCTTGACGAGTCAGTCAGGTCAGCTGGTATATGTTAACATCGTTATACAAGACTGGCTGGGGGTGGGTACGATTTTTACCTGAAGTCCTATTCCGTGTAAATCCTCTTCAGTAAGGAAATGAATTCAACAACATCGTTGCGACGTTTGATCCATGGGTGTGTAATATCCGTTTATCGTTCAACTGTCAGACATGCGTTTTGGGTCATTGGTCAGTAGTCTGCATAAATATACATTGTAATCGCCCTAGGATATCAAACTACCGATGTCCTGCTTCCTGAACTTTTCTTTCGGTTTGCATCTAGATTGTGAGGTCAAAGGTTATCGTGGTCAGAAAGGTTCACGGAAAAGGGGAACTACTAAATACATGAAAAATAACACGAATTGACCTGAATGGGTTGTTAACAAGTTTGAGCATTAGAAACCAGGTACATAACATGAAGGTACCTACAATGGAACACGTTTCCTATGTATGCAATACGACTGAATGTTACCTTTTCTAAATCAAAATTCACATATCAGCTTAGTTTCAAGAAATTGAAGCTTTATATTTGCCTTCTTCCATCCTCGATACCCAGGGGTTACGCTCACTATCAATATGATCCCAGTATGACGTGCGGAGTTTCTAAAATCAAAATTTAAAGGCATAAAGTATCTAGTCCAAAAGAAACTCCGCACTTCTAACTGGGATCATATTGAAGATATAATAAATCCCAATAGTCCAAATCCTTATAACAAATACCCTGGTATGAAACGATTCTGGTCTACTGCGACATTTAATTTCCCCACTAAAGCAAGAGGGCAAATTAATACATAATCCTGTTGGCTCAACGCACAGTTTCAATCTGTTTTTACTCTACCTGAATCCCTCAACCTTTCAGATGTAACATGCCTCTTGACCATCAATTTCCAACCTTGCCTGATATTGAGATCCATGAAAATGGTATATTAAAACTTCTCAAAGGTTTAAATCCGCATAAGGCTGCAGGACCAGATGACATAAAACCAAAGGTACTAAAAGAACTTGCTAACGAAGTAGCCCCCCATTCTATCACTAATTTTTAGCAAGTCCTTGGGACCATTATCCATAATTACATCCTCCATGAGCATACGTTAGAACACGTATACCAAGCAAAATACCTGGGTGTTACAATTCAATCTAACTTAAAATGGGACTCCCACATAAATAATATTACCAACAAAGCAAATTCAACACTTGGCTTCCTCCGTCGAAATTTAAAACATAGGTTCAACATCAGTTGAGGCACAGGCATACACATCATTCCTAGAGTATGCCTGTCCTGTTTGGGACCCATACACCCACACACTAGATTAGTACCAGCAACCAGGCAATCAAGGCATGCCCATCACCAATCCTTCCAAATACCACACTGCAGAACCCAGGTCAGAAAACAATCCTTCTTTCCACGATCAATATCTGAGTGGAATCAGATCCCACCAGATATCATATCCTCCTGTTCTACTACTGAATCTTTTAAATCTGCTCTCCTGTCACTGTACCCTCAAATTAAATCTATATATATATATAATTTTGACTTCCTCGGAATCGACTAATTTTCTTTCTATGATATTATCTTCAACTTGTTGAAGTTGGTCATTACCTTTTAGAACAAGGTGGCGCACACCGAGCCTTCAATTTTTCTATGACATATCCCAGGGATTTAGAGAGCGAACGTGAGCGTACCTCTGGATATCGAGGATGGCCTGCCTCTAACATATGTATAAGACGTTGCTCATTAACTCCGCAGTTGAAAAAAAAATGAAATGAACATATTTCCCAGGTATGAGGACGGTACAAACATGTGAAAGTCGTATGTCTTAAATCATACCTGCTAAAACATCCAAGTGAATTAGTCTATGACTCTCAACTAATTGTGCGATATTTAAGAAATTGGCGAAATTTAAGGTGAATTTACAGCCTACAGCTGCTTGGAAGATGTCATGTATCAACTTGTTCTTCGAAGATGATGCGAGTTTTTCGTTGGATTTGCAGCCATGCATGTTTCCGATGTTGACAACTTTAAAAATACTTATAATTAAATCGGCACCAGGTACCCTAGGTTGGAACTTCCAGATACGTAATTATCGGCTGTCGGTTAAACAGTTAAATCACGGACTTAGATACCAATCTAATTCCGTGGTTAAATTTAATATATTTTTCAATTGAACCACACATCATTTAATCACTTTTCCGAACTACAAAATAAATAGATAAATAAAAATATAATAGTATATTTGAATTTTTGATGTGCATGCAACTGCTTATTTGCTTTCGTGGCAGCTACGCGCCTGTAGACAATGCTTGAAAACTGTCAATGATCATAAATACATGTACGAGCATTGAGGTGTCGTTTTTACCGAAAGTCGATCTAAACCCCTAAAACATGTAAAATTACTCTGCTATTTTTCATACTATTGTGTATATTGAAAAGTGATTGCCGGATGATTGGACCAAGTGGTTTCCGATTTACACATTTTGTGTTAATCGGAAACCACTTGGGCCAATTTCCGGCAATCACTTTTCATACTTTTGATACCACTAAGAGTAAATTGTAAACACGAACGATAACTCTGGATTAGAGGACTGCAAGCGATACAGATTATATCTGAACATTATGCAGTGAGTAAACCAGAAAAGAAACAGCCTCAGAAGTTGAACAATTACAATTAAAAATCCCTGAACAACCCTTCTTCCTCCGTATAAGGCAACAGCCATGTATAAAAACCGCGGTCAGAGTAATATTTAAACCAGTATAGGTAACAGCTGGAACATTTTTAACTTTACATTACTCTGTGAGAATACAAACCCCTCACCTCCGTAATCCGCATAAAATACATTAACATTGAAAAGACAACCGACACAATTTCATCAAGATAGAAGTAATAATTGACAGATATGAGTCATTTCAAAATTAGCATTTTATATGCATTCCTTAATAAATCTTAAAAATTGACATAAAAATATATTTTGACCGCAAGTATTGATTAAATAACATGATCCATCCTACTTGTTAACATCAAGTGATAGGAGAACACGAGTGGCCACAGAATCAACCAAATTCACACCAACAAAAAACTATGTAATTACTCTTTTCCCCCCAGGACCATTGTAAATTGAAATTATCTACCAAATTCTCAAGCACCGGAGCAAAACCTAAACTCTTTCATGTGCGCCTTTGTTAGTTTTAACTTACCCTAAAGTATCTACTGATTTTATCTCATAATGAAAAATACCAAAAATATTTGTTTTTATTGCCACCTCCCATAAACAAATGCACTCAAACCTTTGAGTTTGATCCTTCATGTGAAAGAAGAAGAAGAAGAAGAAGAAGAAGAAGAAGAAGAAGAAGAAGAAGAAGAAGAAGAAGAAGAAGAAGAAGAAGAAAAGAAGAAGAAGAAGAAGAAGAAACGTTCCTGATTTTGTCTCCCTTTTCAGCCAATTTTCGACCATGAAAATCAGTAACGGAACCAGATGGAGAGAAAAGTTGATACATATTACCCCCTATTCCGATAGATCGATTGATTACATATCAATCACTCTATAAATCAATTCAATGTACATTACCAGTACGACTTAATTGCAGCCAGCACAAAGAACAATATTAATAATTAATCTACCAAATGCTGACCGTCACCTGTACGGTAAAAGCAGAGACATATATATAAAGCCAGTAGACTCTATATACGTCTCTGGTAAAAGGGGCATCACGGTGAAGTATATTTTACACACGGTATTGCAAAGGAATTGTATCTTTGGCCGATGACCACACAGATTTGTTTTCATTTCTTTTAGACGCGGCAGAAACGTATAAATTATATATGTCTCTGGACGCGATTATTTGAGTGTAACAAACATCAAGTGTTACGTATACGCTCACCTACTGATTAACTTGCAATGCATTATTGCAATTTTAAAATGTGATCTATGTATGAAATATTTAACATTTACGAATATTTCTGATATTTTTTGTCTATATATCATATTTTTGATCACATGATATAAAATATAAGTATAACATTTTAATCAATTTGGAAATATTCGAGATGAAAATTTTACGGTAAATTACCATAAAGCTAACCAGGCTTTCATTAAAATTGGCTATGGTCATTGTCCATGCTGTAATTGTATTAATAGTGACTTGTAAAGGTAAGTAGATCGATATGTATTTCCTGTTTTTACTTCTTTTAGAAAGACCCATGAAGTCTACAATTTTTTCTCTAAATAATTTCTCTGATTTAATGTAATTTTAAAATAGGTCATGTCATTGATTATTGTATCGAACGCACTCAGTATGAACTTGGCTCTCGTCAAATCTCGCTGTGAGCGAGATGTAAATTCCATCATGGAATCAATGTAGAATTTGTTGATTGTCGCGAAGGCGACTTTTATTACTGAATACTCGATTCCTGTGTACTGTTACTTTGGCTCCGGTCGTACCGAGATTGTATGGGTTCAGTGTGATAAGGTAGGTCATAACACACACCTGTTATATCCTTCAGATAAAATGTTGCATGCATGCAACAAAACTGTCAACACCTGTCAAATTCGCACCTGTGAGTGACGATGTGACGGTATGATTATGATAGCATATAACATGTGCATTGTTCTCACCGCCCGAGCGGACTGGCTGTTAATTTTCTTACATGTATATATTATTCAACTATGTATAGGACCAATTAGCCACTGCTTTTGACCTTAAAATTGCGATATTAATCCTTATGATATTTGTGAAACGCGCCTAGATGTTCATGTTGAGACTCGTTTCACGTTTTACCGTTAGCAGCAGTACGATCAAGATTTATGTTTACTACACGATGTGTTCGTTATGATGTAATGGATTTACTTTAGGAATGCTAACTGTGAACAATTCTTCTTGAAGTAAGTAGACTACTATTCCTAAATATATATATATATAACAGTTAACTGTTCTCTAATTTAAATCCCAAATACCAGTCTATTATGTTAAGACATTTAAAAACATATACACATATTCCCAGACCACATATACTTCAAATATATACATAGAAAGGTTCCACATCCCACCCTTCCCCACCCCAAAAGCAGTAATTTCTTTTACAAATTTTGTTTGTGTTAGAGGGGGTGGCCGGTACTCATACTGTAGTGGAAAGAGTCCATGCATGTAGCTCAATTTGTTAGAGCACCGGACTCAAAATGTATTTTATCTACATTGTTTGGCGAGTATTGTATCTAATCTAATAATAGAATAAAAGACTAGAAGAGTGATATAAGTTTCGTTAACACTAACGGAAATATTTATTTAGCATACTAAAAGTTATTTACAAACACTAGGTTTGTCTGACGACCAGATTTGTTTTGTTGGAAGAAATCTTTAACTTACTACGTAATGAAATGTATCTAAAGACTGCCCTCCAACGCAATATATAACTTAACCTAACTAAAATATCACCGGATTAACCAGGAGCCCTACAATCCAACCTTTTTGTAAATGTTGTTGGTCCGAAAACTGAGTAACCAAATTGTGAATGTGCACAGCTTTATATTCCCAAAACCCCTTATGCATGCGCAAGCCATGCAACACCAAATGGACAGTGTCCATTAGGTGGCGCTGCCTGCACACACTAATTAAGTAATGAGTTTCAGAGAAAAAAAAAGGACCTACATGTATGTACTGTATGGAACATTTACCCTTAATTCATTCACCCCTGAACACACATTTGAACTCTTCCAATTCAAAGGTTGGAATAGTTCAATATGAAATTTCACGGGTGAATCAGTTAGATAATTTGTGTGCCTGTAGCAAGAAGTATGCATACATGTATCCAATTCAAATTTTGATAACCTACAAATTCATAGTCCAGTGGTATCTGTGCCTGATTCCTTATAGCTATTGAACATAATTAAAATATCAGTCTTAAAAATCTTAAAAAAAGATGACAATGAAAGTCATAATATACTAGATGTTATACATTTAATGGTCTTTCTCGTTTCTTTTTAGCAATCATGGCGACTGAATTCATGTATTCCAACATGCACAACCCGTCAATGGGGAGTCCATATAGTAACTCAAGTTACGGGGGGTACACCAATGGGTACGCACCAAAACAAAATGGGAAAAGCTTTGCCTTCAGGAAAAGATTTGAGAAAGTGGACTGGCGAAAGATTGCTTCCGTGGATATTAACCAGATAGCTCAGACTCTGGACTTCAATGCTCTACAGGAAAACATCATGAATATTACATTTTGTAATATTGAAGCAGAACTGGTAAATACTTTAAGCTCAATGAGTTGCACAGATGTTAAATTGCAGAACTATTGGTATAACTGCCACAGGTGTTGCAGACAAACTGATCATGGGTTGCGATTAGTTTTTCTGCAACGCATGTAGCAGATGTGATAAAGGATTTCGACATAAAAGTGCCAGGAAATATTTAAAATAAAGATTTTCAAGAATATATTTCCTAGTGCATAATCTCACAATTGTAGCAGAAGTGCCCGGCAGGCTATGTATTCATGCACTGCAATGAATACTCTCATAAATAATCCTCATTCTAGAACAGATATAGAAGGGTATTTCCACACCAAATGAAAAAATAATGTTTATTTATGAATTAATTCATACTTTCGCTGAAATGTTGATTTCCATTTAACATTTGCTGTATAGATATACATATTCGCTGGATCTACCAAATTATAGATCACTTGATTAAATAAGCTCAACCAGAAATGTTGCTAGACTAATATAGAAAATAAATGTGCCATTTTGAACTTCTGCTCCCTGAATACCTTACATTTATTGAATCTTCAACTTTTCTTAATTATCTTGCTTTGTTTTACAGGATTTACGTATGGTGGATCCAAATTTTGTCAAGTTGTTTAAGCTAGGACAACTGTCCATTGAATATTTACTGGTAAGAATGATGGAAGCAAAATTATTTGCAAAAATCTTATCCAAATTCTCCATCCGCATTTGGTTTGTATTGAGAAAAAGATAATAAACTTATAACTCTCATAAAAATGTTGAAAGAAAACCGCAGCAATACAAAGCTGATGTACAGTCGTATTTGAGGTGTTTTTTAATTTTTTTTTCTCCATCAATGTATTAAATTTAACTTCAAATGATTACGTTTTGATTGAAAAAATGTAGTCAGCTAAGTCATATGTACAAAATAGTTGATTGGAAAAAAAACCCACATTGTGTTGGAATGCAATTTATAGCAATGGTGCAGGAAAAAACGGTTTTGTTTTCCTTTACAGCACTCTCAAGAGTACTTGACTGGTGTGATAACTTCCCTCGAGGAGAAAATGAAGAAATCTCAGGAGGTAAGAAAAGATTTCTAAATCAGTTTTATCTTTGAAATGAATCAAACTGTAAAAAGCTGTACTTGCTATGAGCTGTTGACAACTTGAAGTTTCTTACTTTATGTATAAATATTTCAGGAGCAAGGTGAGATGAAACAATCTGAAGAAAAGCTGAAACAGCAATTAACGGACGTGAAGAAAGAGAGTCATAAACGAAAGAAGTTACTGATGGCCCAGCAACAGCTGATTCATGCCGGTTCTGGTAGTTATAACAAGGTAAGAGAGATCACTGGTAGAAACTTTTGGGGCAAAATTGGCTCCAAATATAATAATGATAATAATAATTTGAGGTTCTTATATTTCACTTGATTACAACCTAGTTTGTAGGTTGTCTCAAAGCAGTTCACAAATTATTATCCATGGTTATTGCGCCTTTGCAACCACCCAATATCTTTCTCAACTCCCTGGGGAGCAAACAGTCGTTGCTGCCATTTCGTCACTCACAGCTAGCATTCAACAATTCTAGCACTGCCCAACCACATACTCATTTACAGCTGAGTAGACTGGAACAAGCAAAGTAAAGAGTCTTGTTCAAAGATACAGCACAGTGCTGTGCCGTGACTCGAACCTGCAACCGTCCTAGACTACTGTGCCTCCCATATAAGCCTAAGCTTATTCCCAATTGGCAAAAACCTATACTTTTTTGACAATCTAAAATTAAAAATTTCCAAAATAATGCAAGTGAAGAAAATATTATCTATTAAAAATCTGGATGGAGCCTATCATGTTGATGCTGTTTGTTAAAATCTCTTCTTAGAGAAATAATTCTATAAGCTATCATTTTATAATAAATAATCAGTCTTTTTGTGTGCCCTTGTTATCACATATTTTCATTATTTATTTACATGAAACTTAGAGGAAACATTCCTTTGTTTCCATTTACCCTTTCACCACTATGTAACTTTAGTAGACTCTACTATACATTTATCTGGGCGAGTCCATTATAGTCTACAGTGGTGAAAGGGTTAAAGATTTAATATCATGTTATACACTACACTAATGATATATATACTAATATACCATATCGCCTGCAATAAGCCCATGCCTGGAAATAAGCCAATCAATATGTATTGCTGTTCAGTATAAATACAGACAATTGCTGTTTCAGTGTTCTGTTGTAAACCATCTCAGTATATAAAGTGAAGGAATGTTTATTGCCCCTGGGCTTATTGCAGGATACATCAGTAATTTATACTATTGGGCCCAAAAAATAGATATGTTTCTGGTAACATGGCTGAAAAAAATAGGGTAGGTCAATCAGGACTTGTGTTTATTTTATTTTTGAGGGGTGGGGTAATTAAAGAATTACCAAAATCACCAAACACATTTTTAGGTCATTTAAATGATAATATGGAATTTAAATTAAATTTAAATATCTGCCAATGAAAGAGGGGATATATATAATTGCCTTGTTTGTTCATCTGTCAATTTGTTTGCATATGGTGGACAAGTTATTCCAGCACTGGATGGAGTACATGGGAGTGAGAAAAAACTACTAGGGTCAGAGGTCAAAATTAGGATTGATTGGGATACCTTAATCATACATAATTTGTTTATTGGGCCTTCAGATATAATTTACTTGGATATTTAATGAAATCAGTTTTATTTATTTATCTAATTTTTGCTTGTAGTGTCCGTTCTGCTCCAAGGCTTTCCTAAACAGTTCCTTCCTTCAATCTCACATGAATCGTCGACATGGCGACCAGTCTATCCGTCCAGCGTCCATTGCGCCTCCAACTCACCAGGAGCCAGCGAAACCGTCCGAATTCCAACGCCAGATGGAAGAACTCAGAGAGAGGCTACAAGCCACAGAGTCTCAACTACAAAATGAAAAAATCAAACGCAAACAGGTATAATATAACCATTTGTAGTCTCCTAGACAGACCTCATTCCATTAGGTAATGCTATGTATGAAATGTCTTCCATTCTGGAGTGTGTTTAACTCATTCACCCCTGAAATTTCATAATGAACTATTCCAACCTTTGAATTGGAAGAGTTCAAATATGTTTTCAGGAATGAATGAGTTAAGCAAGATGTAAACTTTGAAGTGTGATACTTACAAGGTACTTAGCTGGTTGGCTGTTCTTTTTACAACATAAACAACTTTTGATGATAAGAACATTATATGTAGTCTGGTCATAGATCCAAATAGTGGTATATCCAAGATGGCTGACATTTATGAAAAGGAGAGATACTCATAAATAAGCCCCCTCCCTTCTTTTGGTCAATCTGTTTTCACTATGGGTGGGGGCTTATTTGTGGTCAAATATGATACTTGGCTAACTCCAAATTTATTATTTTTATGTTGGTCCGTTATACAGTTCATCAGACAAAAGACATTTTTTTATAATATTCATATGTTTTTGGAAGGAGGTAGGGGAAAGTGACTAATGCAGAAACAAACAAGTTTGTGAAACCACTAGCTAGAATAAAATATTAATTCTTCAACAGGTAGCACTTTGTGATTGAAATAATTGATTCATCATTTCAGGAAAAAGAAAGAAAAATGAAACTACAGCAAGTAGAAGGTATCAATGTAAGTATATTGAACAGGTGTTCTATTTGGTAGAAAATATTAGGATCCCTGTAACACTGCTAAACTGTAGCAACGCATTGGAAACTTTTTTCTGGCAAGACTATAGATTTTGAGAAATCATTTCAAAAAAGTAAACCATACCTTGAGAAATAATAAAGATAAAATAAACAAAATACAATCAACAACAGCGTTCTGAGTGCAAAAATCCAACAAGGCTACACATAATTCGAACCCTGGACCTCAGATTGTTATACTATCACACTAACTGATAGAGCTACCTGGTCCACAGAAGTTTCCTGGCCAAACTGTGCTACAGTTATACCCAAATGGAAGTTAAGGGGAGGTAACTGTGTGTAGGGAAAACCACAGTCCAGTGAGACGGATCCTTAAATGGAATCTCATTTGTGTTATTTCTTTTTCGTTTTCAACATGCCAAAATAAACATTAACAAATATTAATAAACGTTTTTGTATCAGTGTAGCAAAAACACCAACAAAAATTGTCTAGATGAAAAGGTTTCCATGTAATGGTCTATAACATCGAAATTTAAATATTTTGAAATGTATAAAATTATCTATGAAATAATTTTAAGGCCCTCACAAGAGGCATTCTTTCATCTTTCATTCACATTTATTTTATTGACATTTGATTCTTCAATCGAAGAATATGAAGGAAATGAAGAAGTATTCTTTTCACAGTTCTTTGAAATATATTTTATAAGAATACATGTTTTTCTAGCTTCATTTCCCAGGTTTCGTGGTGGAAATCCAAGACAAATTAATTATACTTGCAAAATAAAATTTTGGAACTGTTTTTCAATGGCTGATAGATCTACATTTATGTACCAATAATCGTCACTATTTGTAACAGAAAGTCGTATTTACAGCATTGGTATTTTTTAAGTCAATTATATAATTTCATAATGTTTCTTTTTTTTCTTTTCAATTATTTTTATTACATGTATTAATGCTACAGCATGATTTTTGCAACATTCCAGATTTTTGTTTTTATTGTCGGTCATTTTTGTTATTAATTATATTTTAAAACTTCTATTCAGGATTCTGAGAAAGAAATGTACCAAAGGGAAATACATGCATCTAATAAGAAAATAAGTGACCTTGAAAGAGCTTTTAGCGATAAGATGTCAAAAAGATCAGGCCTCGGAGAACTAGAGGACGATGTTGAAGTTGAAAAAGAACTACTGCAGCAACAACGAGAGGAAGTTGCAATGCTGAAGGAAGAGCTTGGTGTGAGGGTAAGGAAACCTTGTCCGAAGATAACTAAGAATAGACAATTCAGCTCAAACATGGAAACATGTTGAGGAGTTATAGTTCAAGATATACCCATACAACCATCAAAAACTGTAGCTGTGCATTGAAAATGTTTTACCCAGCATGACAATACCTTTGATAAATCATTCTTGGAATGAAAACCATACCTTGCAGCACTTTTATGAAAAATAATGAAGAAAAGATAAACAGAAAAATCAACAGCAGTGTTCTGAGTGTAAAATACAATAGGGTTAACCAGGATTCAAACCCTGTACTTTAGATCGTTATTTGTCACTCTGAGTTAGTGAGTTACCTGTAGAAGTTAAGGTAAAACATTCAACACTATGAGTACAGTTGGGCCTATAGTCATTCACGCCTGAATACCTCAGTTACATAATGTAGTTGTATTATGGCTAAAATTAAAAGAAGAATTTCCATAACTATATGGAAATTATCTGTAAATATTTTAATTCTTTATTTATTGTTTTATCTTTCCAGGTGAAATCTGTCGAATCCGATGTAGAAAACAGGTTTGCAAAGCAGGAGAAGAAATGGCAGAAAAAGGTCCAAAATCTGACACGCCAACACGCAGATGATATAGGCAAGGTAATGTCTAAATTACAGCCTAGTTGTCTGTGTTTTAGTTATCAGTGTTTATTGATAGACTCTTTAATACCCTACTTAAAGGATACTCACTTTTTCAATGTATTGCTTAAAAAATGCTGGTACCTTTTCATACAGCTAGTCAGACTGGTAAAAATCAGGGGAAGTGTCTTGTTAAAGGCTGCAACAGAACATAATGTGGCTTGTGTAGTTAAAATCTACAGCCATTTGGTCAGTAAGCCAATATACAGTGTATCGGGTGTGCTGAGCTCAGCAAGGATTGAATTACTTTTTACCAGGAAAATTTCGCTGCAGTTTATTATTCACCTTTTTCATGCTCCCAAAAGATGGCATATTTATGATGTCAGCATATTGTACATAATATACAATATATAGTAATAACATATGAATGGTGAAACTAACACTAGGCAAACACATTTTATTGGCAAAGGTGGGATATTTGACTGGATGAAAGGGCCCTGGTATTCAGTATCCTGATGAAGGTTTGATTACATGACATTGGGTGTCTTCTTATGAGTTATCATGGGTAACAGGAATACAAATCCACATCAGCAGGCATACAGCCCCTTATACACTTTATGCCAGGGTGAATTTAAATGAATAATAGAAGAATAGTAAATACATGTATAAGATATTAGTGGTTTAATTGCTATTGTATTTGTGAAGTATAACTTCATGACTTACTACTGTATGTTATACAGCTAAACGTCGTCTTGGAAAAAGCTGGGCGTGCAATGGCTGCCAATAAGGAAAACCAACAGCAACAAAGAGAAGTTCAATCTGTCCTCAAGGTGAGTGTCTGTTCGAGGGCAATAAAACGGGATAAGGTTAAATACTTTTCCTTTTTGAGGGTAAACAAAACTTAACTTTCACGAAAAATTAATTTCAATTATAATTTCTGATATTAAATATGAAAAAAGGACTTGTTGTTTGTCTGGATGGCGTAGTGGATAGCACATTCGACTTTCACCAAGATGATGGGGGTTCAATTCCCCAATCGGACAAAAAAATATATGGGGTCACCTGCCCCACCATGTGGCCACCTGCCCCACCATGTGGCCACCTGCCCCACCATGTGGCTTTTCTCTGGGTACTCTGGTTTCCTCCCACATAAAGACCACTTACCACTACCATCTGCCCACTTACCACTACCATCTGCCCACTTACCACTACCATCTGCCCACTTACCACTACCATCTGCCCACTTACCACTACCATCTGTCCACTTTCCACTACCATCTGCCCACTTACCACTACCATCTGCCCACTTACCACTACCATCTGCCCACTTACCACTACCATCCCCCCACTTACCACTACCATCCCCCCACTTACCACTACCATCCGCCCACTTGCCACTACCATCCGCCCACTTACCACTATCATCCGCCCACCTACCACTACCATCCGCCCACTTACAACTACCATCCACCCACTTACCACTACCATCTGCCCACTTACCACTACCATCTGCCCACTTACCACTACCATCCCCCCACTTGCCACTACCATCCCCCCACTTACCACTACCATCCGCCCACTTACCACTACCATCCGCCCACTTACCACTACTATCCGCCCACTTACCACTACCATCCACCCACTTACCACTACCATCTGCCCACTTACCACTACCATCTACCCACTTACCACTACCATCTGCCCACTTACCACTATTATCTGCCCACTTACCACTACCATCCGCCCACTTACCACTACCATCCACCCAGCAATAGTGGTTAATATCATTATAAGTGGATGCAACTTGTTTTGTAATTGTTGTAAAATAAACAAAGTTGAATTTAATTTAGGGCTGGTTTTCTGATGGATACCACCAGACATACCTCATCAAATGGAGTTAATCATTTTAATCATTCAGTGCTTTCATATGTCTATGAGTCATGAGTCAAAAACTCACATCTTTTCAATTTTACTCTTTGAAGTTTTGAAAATTTCATTAATTTCACATAGAATGACTCTGACACAGCTTTTCTTTGGTTTATGTTTAACGCCCTATTAACAGCTAAGGTCATGGTTTATGTTTAACATCCTATTAACAGCTAAGGTCATGGTTTATGTTAAACGTCCTATTAACAGCTAAGGTCATTTAAGGATGTACACAGCTTTTCTTTGGTTTATGTTTAACGCCCTATTAACAGCTAAGGTCATGGTTTATGTTTAACGTCCTATTAACAGCTAAGGTCATTTGAAGACGTACACAGCTTTTCAGCTTTTGATAGGAAATGACTCGTTATTTGAAGTTATATGATAAAACACTACTATCACATATAAAACCTTTGATTAAGATCGTGAAAACCATCAATCTGAATAAAAAATTTGGAATGTAGTTCAAAGTTAACCATAAATTATCAAGAAAGGAAAACTCATTTTCAATGGTTACATGTATAATGGATCACATGCCAGATGGCAAGTCAAACAAAATTGTAGGTAAAGGTGTTTGAGCATGTAATCAACATTAAATCGTGTCTTTTTTTTGTTTCTCCGCAGCGATCCAAGGAACAGGAGGATCTGTTGAGAAGTCAGGGATACGAGGATGAGGTGGAAAAGATGTACAGGGAAGAGGTAAAACATGACACCATAGTAGGATTGTATCAAATTCTACACCAGATATACGATTTTGGTGATCATTGGTCAAGGTTAAAGGGTCAAAGGTCATGGTCAAAGATCACACTTGACCACATCTGAAGTAAAAAGCTTGTATTCAAGGTATTTTATAAACCCTTCCATGATTCTGTTAAGATCGTATAGATCTGCTGAGTGGTATAAGTTCCTCGCAGGTCATTGTGCTACACTAACACATCTTGTTAGATTTGGTGAGTAGAATAGTTAGCAGAAAGAACAGAAACCATATTGTGACAGAGGTCATTATTTTTTCAATGCTCCGCTAGGAGTTGAAACCGGTAGCTCTGCATATTTTACTAGTTTTATTTTCTACTAAATGAGCTACAGAGAAATCCTCCCTAGCCAAATAGGTAGGAATAGCTAGTATGCACCATGACAGTTAGACATTCCTGCGTACTGTCTATCGCCCTATCAGTCACACCCTAAGACAATTACTGATGACCATGTGATGTATACTTCAGTTTCCTACGTTCTGTCTATAGCCCTATCAGTCACACCCTATGACAATTACTGATTACAATGTGATGTATACTTCAGTTTCCTACATACTGTCTATCGCCCTATCAGTCACACCCTATGACAATTACTGATGACAATGTGATGTATACTTCAGTTTCCTACGTTCTGTCTATTGCCCTATCAGTCACACCCTATGACAATTACTGATGACCATGTGATGTATACTTCAGTTTCCTACGTTCTGTTTATAGCCCTATCAGTCACACCCTATGACAATTACTGATTACAATGTGATGTATACTTCAGTTTCCTACGTTCTGTCTATCGCCCTATCAGTCACACCCTA